ATTCATTATTATGATTCTTATTCTTTTAACAAATCCAATTGTGCTACTATATCTCAAGCAACCAAAAAATATGTTAGAAATATTTATAATTTCTGGAATAGTTCCATATATATTTAGTACTGACATTGAAAAAGAGTCTAATAGTCTTAAAAAACATTGCAGTGGGAAAAAAATTAAAATGAAGACAGAACTATACCAAAGGGAGCTAGTCAAAACGTCTGTCATAGAAAGTGCAAAGCATAAGAATACAGTGCAAAGGATTGCCGAAATAAAGGAGATGCCTACCAAACAAGGAGATACACCAATTGAACACAAAGACATGCCCACTCACTGAGCTGAGAAAAAGGAATGTAGCAGTACTGCACAAAATAATGACAATGAAGTGAATTTTAACTACTACATACAAAATTAATATTTATTGTACCAGAAAATGTATTATTTCATTATTATTGTTATTGTTATTATTATTATTATTATTATTATTATTATTATTATAATCAACAAACTGTATAATTAATACCAAGAGTGGATAATTATAATCATCCACTCTTGTTAATACATAGTGAAGCTACTTGTATTTCATTTGGTTGTTTAATGTGTGTACACAAGCAGATATGATTTGAGTAGGTGCAACAATACCTCAACTATTTGCATCAATTGCTTGTGAAAATGACCCTATATTGCACAGTAATATGATTGTAGTAATGATATGATTGTGTTCTTACATCAGCAGATAAATTGGTGATGATAATTTTTCCATAGTATTGGGTTTGTATTTTAAAAAAACATCAGATCCATGTACATGTACTCTTTTGGTTCCTGTATGGTATGCGAGTGCTTTTACCTTAATTCAACCAGTGATCAAAATTCCAAGGTTATTTAAGGACTGATTGATGCTGGATGCTTCATCTTTACAGACACTGCAGTAGCACCTGTCTTAGGGAGACACTCTAAACCCTTTGAGGAATAAAAAAGAGATGGTACATCTAACTGACTGCAAAATTAGTGCTTAATAGTGTATGCATAGTAGCATGAGATGTACAATATATTATATAAATTAACATAATAACAGTGGCAATGCATGTACATGCATAAGTGGTGAGTACATAATGTTCATTACACAAGCTATAACAAGACACCTAGACCAATAGTGGATGTAGCTGAAAATGAAAGCAACTAGTTTTTCTGTTGAAACACAATTTTTTCCCTCTTATTCAGAATCTCATGTTTGTGAACATAGACAAGTCTCTGCTGATAATGCCAATGGATAACAATGAAATCAAGTAGAGTGGATGTACTATTGTCATTTAGTATATCATCATTAATTTTTGTTATTCTGTGGCCCTGATATTGTGTGAACATAAACCATTTGTCACAGTTGCATATCAGTTGCACTGCATGTAAAATAATTTCCTGAATTTAAAGGTTCTATAATTTGTCTACTAAGCGGGATCATACAAATATAAAATAGCATAATGATACATACTTTAAAGTTTTCCTTACAAGATGGAAAATATGTGACTTATTCATTGTTATTGTTGTTCCCACTTTTGTTATTCTTTTAGTGCATGTATATATTGTGTAAACTAAACATAACTTCATTATAGTCATGGCAATTTATGAACCAGTTCAACGAGCCCTTTCACTGGAAACAATTGTAGAGAAGTACAGCACTAAACTTCCTCAAGTGATAGTAGCTAGTGAATCAGTTTATGGAGCACATGACAACATACTTCAAGAGGGACAGAGCTTTGAGGTCTATTTTAAGAAAGAGACGCCAGTGGTCACTATGAAAATGGCAGGGAAAAGTTTTCAAGTTCCACTAAACAGCAGTTTTAGGTTCAGTGTTCACTACAACCCAAGGAATGATGACTTGAACACTGCTAGAGATGGCTACCAGTTTGAGAGTGTCGCTGGTATAATGAAAGCAGTTCCCCGACCCAGAGTAGTGTATGTTAATAAGCACTGCACTGCTAGCCTAGGGAAAGGAGGTGGTGAAGAAGATATTGAAGTTGGGACATTGTTGTTAATTCAAGGAGTAGAGAAAGTTAAAAGTCGCTTTGGGAAAGTCAACATGCTTAAGTGTGTTAAAATAACAGATGACACAAGGGAGCTTTATCTTGCTGAAAGCTGTAAAGGACAATTCACTACACAGGAATCATTAATACGCTTTCCTCTTACAGCCCTTTTGAAATATTTTGAAGCACCAATCACTACAACAATATATCATGGGAAAGGAATTCACTTCATTCTCGTTGTAAAAACAAAATTATAGTGATAGAAAGCAAGAGCATAACAATGTCGACATCAATCATTGTGTCACTTGGCTCTACTTCTGCTACGA